GTTGGCGGGCGGAGGTTCAGGACAGAGGCCTGTTGCTTCTGGGGTGCGCACCTCATTTTGCCGTCGTGTCCGGCGTGGAACCGGGCACCGCCGGAGAAGGCCCGCTGATCCACCTCCATCCCCGTTCCCCCGAGGGTGGGAGGGAGGTGCAGTCCTGCAGCCCGGTTCCTTCTCCGGCTGCCGAGGAGAGATGGGAAGGCTCTGAACCCGCGCACCACCTTGCAGGGGCGTGCCTGTGGTAGACTTGACGGTGTTGAGCTGGGAAGGGTGGCGGGTACTTGCAGGCAGCTGCTTTACCGTCCAACGCTAAGACTTAACTGGAGGTGCGGGGTGCCTCAACGCAAGGCGGGTGATTGTAGTTTGTGTAGGAGCTGAATGTATATTTCTGGTGGATTGCAGAAGTATGGTTTTGATGGGTCTTCTTCATTCGTGGTCTCTGGGGTGCAGAGCAGTCTGGCCCTGAACTGCAGTGACTGGTACCAACAGAAAACCTGTGGGAAAGCAGTGTGTTAAGGGTTGAGAAAGCTGGTGATGTTGCACATGGAGTGGCGGCTTAGGTTATGGAAAGCATTAAATCTGACGGTGGAGTGAAATAGCTGGTTATAGGAGAATTGACAGTGGAGCAGTCTATAATGGAACAATGAGAGAGAGGCATTTCAACCACAGCTTAAATTGAATTAGTAGAGAAACAGAAAATAGGCTGGGTGACTTCTGAAGTCCCTCCTAGTCTGCTTCTCTTGGTAACAACAGGTGTCCCCTACAGAACTGCCCATTAATGACAAATATTGGGAGTTATCCAGGTTCAATGAATGTGGGTGTTAACAAGAGAGAATGCAGTTTGCATCTTTTATCCCACTTTGATTAAATGCTGTGTTTAGATGTGGTGTTTGAGATGCGTAGCAATGCAAACCCTGGATATCTAACGGCCCTGCTTTTTCTCAAAACGTTGGTGCATGCAAATGTGGAAAAAACCCAATACTGTGGCTAAAGTGAAAAGAGACTAGCATGTCTCTTCGAGATCACCGTGCTGTGTAGCACCGACCAGGGGATCGTACTTCCTTGGAACATGCTAATAGCATAAACTGGCTTTGGGGCCTTAGCCCAGAGTTTCCCACAACACTTTGCAGTCCAGTCTGGGTAAATTAGCACTTACATTCATTGTGATCCGTATATTTCCCTCCTCTCTTTCTACAGCGCCTCACCAAACACACCAAGTTTGTGCGAGACATGATCAGGGAAGTCTGTGGCTTTGCACCCTATGAGAGACGTGCTATGGAATTGCTGAAAGTTTCGAAAGATAAACGTGCTCTGAAATTCATAAAGAAACGGGTAGGTCAATCTGACATCTTAATGAGGATGGCAAAAACTCTGCCATAGTTAACTTTCTGTTTTCTGCCCTTCCCTAGGGATGCTTTGCTTTTTAATTAATTCTAATTTTGTCAGTTGTTTGGAAAGTTATTGGTCTAATCTGAGGGAGTGGAGGGAATGCTCCTTGGGTTGGGTGGGAGATGGATGTAAAGGTACTTTGCTAAAAGGCCCTGGGCTACAGGAGTCCAGACACACCTAGCTACTTTTGCATTATTTGCAACTCTGGTGTGGGGAAGAGGAGAGGAATACTGATGGAGGTTGGGTACCATTAACCATGCAACTTGAGATGGGCTTTATTGTGGGAAGCCATGAAAGCTGAAAGCAGCTTCTGCCTTGCCCCAAATAACTGAGTAGAAGTACTACTGAGATGCAATGGCAAGTAGTGCTGGCTGGTCGAGGTGGATGGGGTTTGAGTCCATGTTTACCAGGACTTTACCACCCTGCCTGTTTTTTTTGAGTAAAGAAGTATTCAGTGAATGCCTGAAGCAGCCAAGTTTTATCTGTTCTCTGCTGAGATGAATGCTGACTGCACTGCGCTCTCCCCTGCAGGTTGGCACTCACATTCGGGCCAAGCGAAAGCGGGAAGAACTCAGTAATGTCCTGGCAGCTATGAGGAAAGCTGCTGCAAAGAAGGATTGAGTTGTACAGTATGTAACTCAATAAAGTCTGTTCCTCAGAAAAACAGTGCAGTGACTGTTGATGGTACATTTGCTTCAGCCTGTGAGAATGGGGTGTTCCTGGGGATGTTGAGGGACTGTGCTGACAAGGCCCTGAACTGCAATAACCCAGAACTTACATTGCTATTTTATTTTACCTGCAGCTGGAGATGCTGATACTGGCCTGTGATGCCATTCTAAGAGGGGGAAATCCTCCTCCTCCTCCAGACCTTGCAGAGCTAGCCTTTCTCAGGATGTGGAAGCCTCTGCGATAGCTAAGCCTGTGAAGACTGTGATACCTTCCACTTCCCAGTCTGTCTCCAAACCTAGGTGGTGGTAGGAAAGAAGTCAGCAGAGAAAAACTGCTGTTGAAAATAGTAACAACTTTGCACTCCTTCCCTGTGGCACTTAAAGCTGTTCCTTCTGCAGCTTTTCTTGGTCATGCATTTCCCCTCCTACCCTCCATTTGTGCCCTACTTTCTGCAGTGTGTTACCAAATCATGAGAGAGAATTGCAGTCAGTAAGAGCTCCCTGAATGTCAGCAGGATGATTCTTTATTCTCCACTAAGAGCTACCTCACTGTGAGACAGGACAAGTGCTGTTCTTCATGCACAAGGAAATACATTTCAATTAGACTTCATATAACTACTTTTCCCCTACTGAAATTCAGTTTTTCTAGCATTCACTGTTAAGACAAAGTACTGAAGTTCTCTGGCCCTCGCCTGTATTTACTGATGCACAATAGTCATGCTATGACATTTAATTCCTTTTTTCACTCAGCAAACATAATACAGCTGCCGCAGTGGCAAAGATGGTCTATCAGATAACTGCTCATATTGAGCACATTGTTCTTTTGTCCAGGTCTGCTCATGCTTTAAGCCTGGAGTTGTTTCTGATGGTATTGACTTGTGAGTTAAATCTGGAGAACTACATCCCTTGGCAGCTGAATGCGTTAGCTCTGCTGAACTGACCTAGAATTCCAGTTTCCCCTCCAGCCTAGCACACGCTTATAAGCTGAGACAGGGAGAGGTTTCTGAGAGTGTCTCAACTACCAGTACATCAGGAACACTGTACGTGTGAATCGCAGCCCCAGATCTGTTGTAGAGTTAAATGTTTTTCCATAAGCATTATTGAGAATTACAGTGAAGTAACAGAAAAAAAACTTTAACTAGGAGAGACTAGACTAGCTCCACTGCTGGTAGCTGATAACATGCACATTCCTGAGGTAAAATTTCACAATTTTATTGTAAATACTTAAAGTGGATCATAATTCAATATTAAGGAGTGAGAAATACTTTATTCTAGCAAAGCTGTAGTTCATTTCAGCAGCTGCGCAGCAGCAATAGCTCCATGTCCCACTTCAGGATTGCCCCCAGGTCACCTCATTCCTGGGCAGGGGCTGAGCATTAAGGGACAGATCACCTTCCAGCCATTGGGTTGTTGAACATCATCCTCCAGCAGAATCCAGCTTTGAAAATGCTATATCAAATACCTCTTTGTAGTGCTCAACAAAATGCACTTCTAGTCCTTCTGTAATGAATCCAGCAAGGTCGTAATAATCCTTCTTATTCTCTGATGGCAGAATGATGCAGGTAACACCTGCCCTCTTTGCCTATGGGGAAAAGAAAGTTGTGCAGCCTTTTGAGTCCCAGAAATCCATTAATCTACTAGAAACTCTCTCCCGTTTTAGAAAGAAAGAAGAACAGTTACTTAGGAGCATGATCCGGCTTTGCTCAGTTCTTATAGAAGATGTCACTAAGGATGGATCATGTTCTAGATCTCCCCAAGCTCCCAAAACACACACCCTCCAGTCCCACCTTCTGTATTTTAGTAGGACTATGTCAGCACATTGGGGGATTGTTTAGAACAATTTACACTATTTTACAGAGTTCTAAAAAGTCCGTTCCAACTTGGGCGAGGATAAACCTTAGAATCAAAGGAAGAATTAGAAAGAGCTTATCAGACCAACCCACCACATCAATATGCATAACCCACAGCACCATTCTACAGAACCTTCTGATAGGCACATCTGCATCAGAAGGAGCACAGAAAGCAGAGCCCACTCAGAAAGCAGAGCCCACTCATCAAGTGGCAGGTTCGTACCCGCTCACTTTATGGGTGATCCTGCATTTATCTCTGTGTGGCCACTGACACTCCTGCAAGTGCAGCCAGTCATCAGTGCCACAGACATCACTATCATGTGAGTTGTTCTGTAATGACTACTACAAAACAAAATGCAAAATTACCCATTTTAGAGCCACATGATGAAACGGAATCACATTTTACAAGGCTGTAGCCCAAACAGATTTGGGGACAGACTGCTAATGTGAAGCCCCAGCTCAAGAGGCTACTGAAAGTTAATACCATTCCTGAAGACAGAAAAATGTGTGTGATGCAAGGCTGATGTAGGCAGGAGCTGTGCAGATGAAAAGTACAGAGAGAGATCCAATGCATGGAAAATAATTCTGAAAACTGCAAAAGGTTGAAACAAAAAAATGCAAGCACCGCTACAAATCCAGTGCTTGCAAGAGTGCTTCAGAGAACACAGTCTATATAGCTTACTACAAAAAAAAAGGATTAAGTAACTTGATTATGATGTGCAAAGAAACTTCACAGGGGAAAATGCAAGACACTAAAAGTAAGTTCCTTCCATCTACAGCAGAAAAACATAGGGATATTGATACGAAATTTTAAGTTGGACAAACTGAAGCTGGAACTAGGGAACAGAGTCTTAACATTAAGGATGATACTTTATGGATACCAGCAAATCTACATTGGATGCCCTCCTTAAACAGGCACTTCAACCCAGCACGGATTACGGGACCATACCAGTCTGTGATAGGGAAGACATGTTTAACAGCCAGATGATTCCTTCCACCCTTAATTCTACCAGTCTAGTAGCTAGATCAACACAGATGCCCTGGCACAAAGGCTGGGGTCCCACCTCCTTCCTCACAGCCAGGGGCACAGAGAAGATCCCCATGTTCACCCAGCAGGCTTCTCCAGAGTGTGTATCGAATCACTGCCTCTCCCATTACAGGAGCAATCACTCTGGTTGTCCCAGTCACCACTGAGCCCAATCCAGGGCTCGCTCCCACAGACAATTCTCAGAGACGAGAACAACTCTTACCGCAATAGTCTTCTCCTTGATTCCACCAACAGGAAGAATTTTTCCAGTTAATGACACCTCTCCAGTCATGGCCACATTCTGCCTCACTGGGCAATTCATGGCCAGCGATAGCAAAGCTGTTACTATAGTACACCCTGCACTTGGTCCATCCTTTGGTGTTGCTCCCTGTTTAAAAAAAAACAGCACAAACCCTCTGCCTTTAGCTCGTTCAAAGAGCAGGAAGCCAGACAATACCTTTGTCATTGCTGTTTTAACTTGGCCTCAATTTCATGAAGTCTCACAAAGGTTTTTCTGAAAGTGTCACTGATGGAATCCTGGTAAGTGAATTGGCTGATCTATTAACAACTATGTCAGTCCTCACCTTATTCATGAGGTATAATCCAATTTGGTGTCTGGCCTGATGCCACCACAATACTCATCAGGCTCAGGACTTTGAATAAGCAACATGAACAAAAAACAGAGCATGAATGCTTTGAAGCTTTTTGTTGACCTAAGCCAACTATGGAAACAAGTACCAGAGGTCAGCATCACAAGGGATGAGAGCATCAAGAGTTGCAAAATAGAGGAGGACAATATTGAAAATCATTCAAGGCCGAAAGGATCATTCAGTTTAGAAAGTCCAACAAAATCCAGGACTAAACTCGTGAGTCTGGATTTATCTGAAATTTGAGGTAAGAGCAGAAGAAATGAATGTCTGAGAGGGAGCAGAGGCAGAGATAATGTTGGCTGTTTTCTGATCCTCCAGGAAAGAAACACACAGATAACAACCCAGTACCTGGAGAGACACAGAGCAAGTTGCAACAAGGAGACTGTGGACTAGGTTAAAGCATGCAATAATTCAGAAGCAAAGCTTGGGCACAACCACAGCACAAAATTTATCTTCAGTAAAGCACCTGCCCAAAGCCTGTTACACCATGTATGAGCCACTCCAAGCACTGTGTGCATTTATTTTCAGTCCCAACACTGGAAAAGTGCAATCATTGCCATTATATGGACTAGGACCCATGGCACAGAGACCAAGAGTAGTATTTTCAATTATGTGTAAATGATCTAGAGTCTTATGAAGGCCTGGTAACACAGAGACCTGCACAACAGGACCAACAGCTACAACAAAAGTCTAGGATTCCTTGCACCATTATCCAAGCCTCTGTATTCTCACCACATGCTTGCTGCAGAAAGGAATGGAAACATAGCTCATAAGAATGCTTTCACAGGATCCTGAGGATAATGTCTTCTTTTCTAGGTTTTACTGCTAAAAAGAGGGCATTCTGCACAACATATGGATAAATGAAGAGCTTTCCAGCTTCATGTCTAGGGAATCAAACTGGCCTAGCTGCTATGCATACTCTGACTTCTGCATCAGTTTACCTCTGGCACATGCAAGTGGATATGGGAAGACATGAGAAAGTCGTTCTTGGGGTCCTTCTGCATCAGAAAGGCTCTTGCAAATGTGTAAGCTATTTTGGCACTCTCTTTCATTACATCTCCCAGTTGCCCTGTTACTTCAAGGGACCCATCCTTGTTCTCCTTGTCTTTGGGTCGCCTCAGGGATGTTTCAACAAACAGAGTGGAACCTCCTAAGAAAGAAAAGAAAAACAACATCCTGAGAAAAATTAAAAGGAAAATCAAACCAGAAAGTTTTGGTGATGCAGAAGCAATGTCATGAATTTGGAATTGGGGCTCTCTGATGAGACACTAGCTCTTGGGTAAAGAGCAGCTGAAACCTCCTCTCCGAATCCCTTCAGGAAGGTTAGCTAGAACTCTCAACAGCACTGCACTGCCATTCATTGCTTCTTTGGATGTCACACTCCACCAATCGGATGCAACCCCTATTTAGTGGAAATAATCAGTTC